GAGAGAGAGAGAGAGAGAGAGAGAGAGAGAGAGAGAGAGAGAGAGGAGCTGGAACAAGGAAAGGAAATCAATGTATAGCAGCGTATAACGCAGACAAACTACCACAAGTCATATGCGGCAGTAACAGCGAACAAACTTGCTCGTCAAACTTGGTCTGTTCATAGGATTGGACTTCAGTCAGAGGAACATGACCATGACGATCATATCTTCGATATCATGCAGGTATGTTGCCCAATAACATGGATCTCGCCAGAAACAAATACCCAGCGACTCTGGTAGTGAGGAAGAGGAGGATAGGACAAAAGTGTCAACTTACCATGTTACCTGGCTTTCCAAAATCTCTCCCATGTATTTGAACCGTCCCCCTTCAAACGAAGACAGCAACTCAGCAGAAAAGGAAAAGAAAAATCAGGGGGCAGGGGGGAGGGAGGAGGGGATGGGGGAGGGGGGAGGGGGGAGGGGGGAGGGAAGGGGGATGAAGCTGCCGATCCTGCCATATCTGGGTGGATGCAAATGGAACACTCTCTGGCTAGAGTTGCCACGTTCAGAGGCTCCAAGGTCTAAACTAGAGTTTGGATGCTTTTCATGGGCCATGAATCAGATTTCAATCTGCACAGTCCGGGAGAGAAATGAGGCAGCTCGGCACCAAGTCTAGATACACATTTTGTACGTTTTCACTGGCATTATGCTGGTGTGTTACCAGACTGCTGTTGAGAGGCTAGCCCAGCGCACAAGAGGCAAGGCGAAGGAGGTTTGACCAGCACAGCTGGCTTCTGATGTAGAAGTTGACATCCATAACCCACCACCATCAGCGCAATTATGTCACTGCAGTGAAATTCGGTGTGTTAAATCTCTCAGCCAAGCAAGCCCTCAAAATGCTCTCCGGTGCTGCTCTGCATGCATTGAACACTCGTTTCAGACAGTATTAATCCATCGTGTCTTCTATAGAGGAGAAGAAAGTCCAGTTGTAAATTGCAAGGATAGCACACACAAAAAGAAGAAGAAGAGGAAGGTGGCGGAGGAGGTGAAGACGAAGACGAAGAAGAGAGAGAGAGAGAGAGAGAGAGAGAGAGAGAGAGAGAGAGAGAGAGAGAGAGAGAGAGAGAGAGAGAGAGAGAGAGAGAGAGAGAGAGA